AGCAGGGAGCCCGATGCGGGGCTCGATCCCAGGACCCTGGGATCATGACCTGAGCGGAAGGCAGACGCTTAACAACTGAGCCACCCAGGCGCCCCAGGAAGGAGTTTTGAAAAGAATATTTCGGGGAGGTGGGAGGCTAAATAGAAGAGAGGGGGAGACGCCCAAGGAAGAGCGAGTTTGAAAGGAGGAGGGATGGTCACATCCAGTGCAGCGGTCAGGTCCAATAAAGATGGGAGTGTCCACTGGCTGGGCCATTTACCGACCCTCGGTTACCCTGGTGATGGACAGGGTTAGGCAAAAAGGAGAGAGGTGACTGACGAGTTTCATGAAGAGATGGGATCCCGAAGAAGGACCCCGTCCCCGGGAGCCTGCAGGAAAGGCCATGAGGGCAGAAGCAGATAAAAATACTCAAAGGAAAAGGAGTTGGCTTATGCTGTATGGACTTCATGCCAGCAGGGATGTGGAGGGCAAGGCCATTTGCTGAGAAAGAAGGGCCTGGTGACAGGGGAGAGGAGAGGTGACAAGGAACAGAGAGGTCAATGGCCTGAGGGCTCTGCTGGGGCTGGAGACCATGGGTCTGAGTTGTTATCAGTCTGCGTGGTGGTGCATTTTTTCTCCAGCTATAGGTATGGAGTCACAGATGGGACATTGGGCCCACCCGAGGCTGAGGATGGCAGAGTTGCCATGAGGGCAGACCCAGTGGCACAGAATGATGCTGGTGAGGGGGACAGAGGTGGCACACTCAGGGATCAGGCTGGACTGGGAGGGAGTGAGGCTGGGAAGATTGTGATGACCTTGGAGGAGAGGGAGGGGTCACAGGTTGAGGCTCAAAGACGTTGAAGGACAGATGCCACGTGAGAGAGGCGTGAGAGAGACACCAGGGGCTGAGATTTCAGCAGAGGGGCCGTGTGGGGTAGTGGCGAGGGAGAGTATAGCTGTGGAAATGAATTTCCAAAGAGAACCGCGAGAAGCCAGGAAGAAAGAGCCTGAGGAAGCCCCATGTTAAGGGCTAATTGTTCTCATTTAACACATGAGGCAACAGAGACACTTGAGCAGTGCCTTGCCCATGGTCACACAACGGGTAAGAGGCATGTCAGCCGGATGCTGAATCTAGTGTTGTCTCCATGACCCCGCCCTGCATCTACCTCTGGGGACAAGGATGGTGTGTCCCTCCCAGGAAAGCCAAACCTTTGGGGCATTTGTTCAGGGAGGGAAGAATCCCCTTCCTTCCCTCTTTCTCTCCACTCTCCCCCCTCCCACCCGCTGTCCTTCCCCACCCCTATTGATTCCACCAGTGGGAGACTAATGGACCAGCAGCGTCCTTCCCACTGTGACTCAGACAGGGGCCTGCTGTGACAGGAGCTCAACCCGAGGGGCTGGGATCCCAGGTATCCAGACCCAGCCCTGCTCAGCACCGCAGCCTCCCTTGAGCCTCCCGAGGTGGCCAGGGCACCTGGCTTCATCCATTCTACTCCTGGGTCAGGCTGAGAAAAGGCCATGTTCCTCAATGCCAGCAAGGTCTCCTGTCCACAAGGGGAGCTGGACCCC